CAACCTTCTAAGTATTCCTTTATATGTGGTTCAGAGTTCTGGGACCAGCCCCTGAGCCTGCTTGGTTGGATATTCTGTGTTGTTGTTGGCGGAGCTCTCTGCTATACGTCCACCCGATCCGCCATCTTGTTTGTTCTCCTATAGGTCACTTTTTTAATACACAGATTAACTGGATCATATTCAATTTAAAAGTTCTCTGTGCACACAATGTTCATTTTAGAACCATCTCAGTTATCATGACTACTATAAACTTCAAAAATTAATTTGAATAGAAGATATCTTTTCAGCAACAAAATTCACAAGTTCAGCTGTAACTTTAGATTCCACAGAGACAGTTAATGATGTGTTTGTGTTGTACCTTGTCTATGAGATTATCAACTTAAAACTAGAAAGGTTTGGCTTTAGATAAAAGGAATGGACACAACAGAGATCTCCCGAGAGTAGTCAATTCAGATCCCAGCAAGTTCTATTTAATAATTTCATCAATCTAAGGTGGTGGTGTTAGGTACTGTCGAGTTGGTTCTGACCCATAGCTACCCTCTGCACAATAGAACGAAACACTGCCCAGTCCTATGCCATCCTCACAATTGTTACTACGCTTGAGCCCACTGCTGCTGCCAATGTGCCAGGCCATCTCATTGGGGTCTTACTCTTTTTCTAATCCAAGGTATTAGACTGTTCCATTGTAGTATTCTCTACAAATAGGAGATCTAGTCCATTTCAGAATATCCTTGTTCCATAATCTTTGCCCTTCAGAAGGTACAGTTGTCAGGCTTTTCTTATGTGTAGAAATTTCCATATTTATAATGAATTCTTGACTTTCCTCTATGTCAGGGGTGGGGAACCTTTTATTCTGTCAGTATTTATAACACCATTCACGGGCCATACAAAATGATCAACTTAAAAATTAGCCTGCTATATTTGAATATTTGGTCAAACATTTAATTAACTTACTCAAACCCACCAGCTGTTCCTGGGAAACCCAATACAGGGCTGCTATGAGTTTGAACCGACTCATTGTCCCTTAACAGAAACAACATAATTGTTAGAACTGTGGTTGCCTTGGCAAGGTCAGACAGAATGATTACACAGGCTTTATATGTATGGCCCACGGAGTCCTGGTGTAGAGCCATAGGATAAGCACTTGATCTCAAGGTCAGTTTGAACCACAAGATTAGTGGTTCAAACTCACCAGTTACCTCCTCAGAAACCCTATACAGGGTCTCTGTGAGTTGGAAATGACTCAACAGCATGCAGCCCACGGGCCAGATGTTCTCTACCCCTACTCTACGTGAACCCAGGTGTACAAAGGACATGATGGTGGGCCTGTTAATGATCAGTTGAAGTCCCACCCACCCAAGTGATTCTATAGCAATGCTGCGAACTACTTTTGCTTTCAACTGCCATCACTGTTCTCAGTATTTAGTATGGCCAATATGACTTATAGCAATGGGTTTTGATCTCACCTGTCTCACCTTATAGTGGCTTTGTAAGATGAATCATGTGTGAAACTCAGAATGAAGTTTTTTCATCAGTGAACAGAGGGGTGATGGGAAATCCCTGCACAGGGACCTAAGAAAGGTTCATATCAAGATGCTGAATTCATTGTTCTGAAACCCTTATGGTTCTGTTGCTCATTCCAGGGAGAAATGATGAATTCATTCATAGGATCTTGATATCTTTGTCAGAAAGTAGGAGTTGGAAGCCTTTATATGGTTATTTAACATATATTAGCAGAAAAATTACTTTACCAAATTAAAAGGAATTGTATAGAAAAGACAGTGAACAGTACTGTCAAGTGCTGAATTTTTAATTTGAAGGCATGTGGGTTTTAATTACCAGGAATGCAATATGGGACCAAAAAACTTCGATGAATCACGTAGCAACAAATAATGACTGTGCAGGGAAAATGAGTTCTTAAGTTTTTTTTCCTGTTGGGGCCTCAGGGCTAACTCATTATTCATTTCTAATTTTTTATTACTTTCTGCATAATGGATTTGTTGAAACATCTCTACTTCCATAAAGCCCAGAGCACATCCTGGCCTCACAGTCTTGCCATCAACTTTACTGAGATGGAGACATTTGTTTCCACAATTCCCTTTCACCTCAGTCTCAGTATCTTCTCCAACTGTCTCCTTTTCCCTAAAGCTCCCTCTACTCATATATACCCGTGATTCCAGTTTCTCTAGCTTCTTCCATCATTTTGCCCCATAGGTATCCTTCCCATCTCTGAAATTTTCTGTCAACCAGCTCCTTATCTTGTTCCACAGAGATAGCCAAGATTAGTGCTCGGTTGGCCAATTCATAAAACCACCCCCCCATCTCTTTCTTTCTTTAGTCTGCTTTACAAAATGAGATTCTATGTAGAATGCATCACCTCAACCTCTCGCTCTCTGATTTCTACCCTTAATGCATGTAATTGAAACTGTAGTATCTTGGTTTACCAGATCACCAACTCTAATTCTTACACCCGATCCTTCTGTTTCATCTGTAACATTTGGCATCAGCTGCTCCCCTGGCTTCCTTGACACTGTATTTAATATACTTAATGCCAAAATCAACCAAAAGTTTCCACCAGGACTTCTAACCAGTTCATTCTCCTTTGACCCTCTTGCTGACAAATTTGCATTTTCATCCCAGATGTTCTGAATCAGAACCTACATTTTAACAGATCCACAGGTGATTCTTATAGGAGCCCACAGAGTCTTGTTAAAATGTAGATTCTGATTCAATATATCTGGGGTGGGGGTAAGCAAATTCTCAGCGTAGGGTTGAACTAGAATGTACTGGCCCCTCCATTTCTAGTATTACTATTCTCCTTGAGTTTGGCTAGAAAGTTTGATCATTACCAATTCATCTCCGAACATTTAATAAATTCTCATTTCCTATCAAGAGTACATCCACACTGTATTTTGGGCCCATCCTGTTTTCTCTGTCTGCACTGTCACAAACTCTTACCTGTGACACTGGTAGGGACTATTACAGTAGCCTCCAACACTATCTAGTCTCCTATATTTCAGTCTCTTCTCCGTCTGTCCTGCACACAACTGCTAAAGTCATCTTCTCAAAGCACAGTGGTTCCCCATTCACCAATGATGAATCAAAGGCAATACCAACCCTGGCTCTGCACATAGGCCATTCATAGTTTGATGAAAATGTATTTTATATGCTTACAGACCAGTTGCTGATCCTGACTTGCCTGGTACCTTTCTACCTTACTGTGCTCACTCTCACTCATAGCCCCTACTCTCACCAACATATAAGCATGACACGATTTTAAGGCCAAGCTCAAATAGTATTTCCTCTATGAAATTTGCCCAGAACCTGTCTGACCCAGTCAACCTCTCCCCTGTGCTTTCTCAGCTCCTTGATCTTTTTTTTTTCAAGTTTTTTGTGTGAATTGAGTGATAGTTTACATGGAAGAACATAGGTTTTACACTCATCATTTCATTGCAAAGATTACAATCCCCTCCGTGCATCATCATTCAACAGGATCTGCTTCTGTTCCCTCTGTTGTTTATTGGCAGGGGATGTACACAGAAACACTCACGAATATATAATCATTTAAACAACCAAAGGGCACATTCTGCAAGTCTGCCTCCTGGCTGTCAGAACCAACTCAACGACAGTTAACAGCAATATTAACCAGCCAAGTCAACTTCTCCCAGTACAGAACAGGATTTTTGCAAAGGCTATTTTATCCAGAAGGATTTGATTTCCTAATATTCCTGGTAGTGCATACCTCACTGACTTTAAGAGTGTCTTCCACTGAACTGTATAAATCAATGATCCATGAGAAGTTATTTCATAAATTAATTACTGGCTAACATTGGAGTTCCTACAAATCATAAAAGGCAATTTATTAATCATTGTGTCCCTGCCCCCCTAGCAGTGTATTCATTGAGTCCATTTTTGATATTTGTTGAATTAAAAAAAGACTCCAGAAATAATGTCAAAGGAAAAACCTACCTGTTTCTTTCATATCATCAGAAAAAAAAAGTGACCCAGGTGCTGCCAACACTCTGGTTAACTCTGAAAGCCATGATCAGAGGCAGACAAAGACATCTGGTGGATTGGGAAGCAAAGACTGCTGTATTGGTTGTAGGCACAAACCAGAAGATAATGTGAAGGTCAAAGGTAGAGTTTTCCATTTAACTGAAAACAAAGCTAGACTTTGGGAGATTAATTTGAGTATCACTCCAGGGTTTACATAGACTTACTCCCTGTGGCAGGCATGTAAAGCTCCATAAATGTACATATAGACAAATGTCCAGCTCAAGGGCTCGGTGAGCAGAAGCTTGATATGACTGAGTATAAGCTCTTATTTCACTATTGAAACTCATGAGATTTTCTCTCAGATACGACTGTCTACAAATGTGATTTTTTTTCTCCCTCTCAGATAGCCATGGATATATTGATCCCTCTCTGAGACCCATGTGGAATTTGGCTTTTCTTGGCAGCTCTTACGTGATGTGGGAAAAGACAACCCAGTTTTTGCACTACTATATGGTACAGCTCAGTAGCGTGAAGCAGTGGGTAAGTAAGAAAATTTACTTGTGCTTTTAAGACTGTTCTTAGACTGAATTAACATGAATTCATAATTTCATGGAGTCCTGGTATATAGTGCAGTAGGATAAGCTCAGGACTACTAACCGCAAGGCCAGTGGTTCAAACCCACCAACCACTCCTTGGAAATCCTACACAGGGTTACTGAGTTGGAACCAACTCGACAGCACTTAACAAAATTTCATGGTAAGACACTTAATTGCATTTCATTCATTTAACAAATATTTGAGTGCCTATTATGAGTGCCTGGTTTTGGGGACTAAGGATATGGCAGTGAACAAAACGACAGCGTTACTGCTCTCTTAAAGATGAATTCAATAAATAAGTTAATGTATAATAAGTGGTTGAGGAGAGGTGACGCTGGAGCAGAGCCTAAGAGAAGTGAAGAGTGAATTCTGCATCTGGCAAGGGAAGAGAATTTTAGGAAGCAGGACGTGCGAGTGCACAACTGCTGAGGCAGGAATGAGGCTGGTGGAGAAACCGCAGAGACTAGTACGACTGCGACAGAGTGAGGGCGGGGCGGGCGTAGGCCGAAGACACATTGAACAGATGGCAAGTGGAGGGGCTCAGTTCACCTAAGGCTTTCCTGTTGTACTGAGATGGGGCCATTAGAGGCCATCAGCAGGAGGGACATGATCTGAACTCTGCTAGGATTGTTCCAGTGGCTGTGTGAAAAGAACACAGGGAGACAAAGAATGCATTGCAATTATCTAGGTGAGATGTGGTGGTGGTCTGAACCTGTGGTAGCAGTGGAGGTGAAGTGTTGGGATTCTTGGTGTATTTTGAAGATAGACCAACAGTTTCTTCTTTTTGTTTTTTTTCCTCATGGGTTGGATATGAATATGAAAGAATGAGGTCAAGAGTGGTTAGGATTTTTGGCATAAAAAACTGGCAAGGTGAAATTCTCATTTACTGATTTGGGGAAGGCTGCAAGAAGAACAGATTTGGGGAAATCAGCCTGACTTGGCATCTGGTACGGTCTGTAACCAAGTAGAGTCACGTAATCATTTGGACACAGAGTCTAAATGTCAGCGAGAGGTTGGGGCTGGAGTCCTCACCATATGGATGGTATTTACAGCTACAAGGCTGAGTAAGTGTCAACGGAGAAAACATGTTATCTGAGGATTATGTCCTGGAGTATTTCTTGCTCTTGAGGTTGGGGATAGGGGGGAGAAAAGGGTTTCAAGGATGAGAACTGAATGATTGTTATCAAATACTCCTGGAGTCTAAGATGATGAGGGCTGAGAGTTGACCATTTGGAAGCCACTGGAGACCTTATCAAGAGCTGTGGCACTGGCCCAGTGGAGGCGAAGGCCTAATTGGAGGTTTAGAAGAGGATGTGAGGAGAGGAGTGGACACTCGAAGTTCTTCAAGGAATTAACTGTTAAGGGGAGTTTAAGAGAGAAAGGAAAGGAAAGGAAGTAGCTAGAGGTTGTGTGGTTGAGAGTTTTTTGGGTTTTTTTGTACTGTTAAGTTGGAAGATTTATGTTGATGAGAAGGACAAAGGAGAAATTACAAGAAAGAGGAGGGAGAATTGTTGGAGTCAGTATCTTTGTATAGGCGAACGAGGGAAAGCTCCATCTTGGAGTCGATCTTAGAAGGGAGGCAGCAGTGGCCCAAATGCTGGTCAGAGGGTAGATGTCATGGTGGGAGCCTGTGGGTGTCTAGTCTAACTGCTCGGTCTGCCCCATGAAGGAAGGAGGAGGCAGCCATCCACCAAGAGTGAGTGAGGGTGGGCTGCATCCCTCTTCACTGACCAGGATAACTGAATCTTCAACCCGAGGGTTTTTACCTTAACCAAGAAGTTCAAAATCATAGTGGGGTGGGGGGGAGGAGGTGGGTAGGAGAGATGTTTTACTGTACAGAAAATGGTGCCAAGCTAATTTAGAACTAATGGAAATGAATGAGAAAGCAACTCAGTAGGAATAGAGCAACTCTCTGAGCTGACAGAAAAGGAAATTAGGACAATTTTAATGTCACTGTTTCCGTTCTTTTTTTCAGTTGTATGTGACACATTACCACGGACTATCAGGATACATTAGGGTACCAAACAAGCAACCCCATTCTCTCTTGTTCTAGTCAGTCTTTGATTATCTCCGGGGGGACAGTAGGGGCACATATGGAGTTAAGAGAGCATAAGTGCAGAGGAAGGAGATTCTTGGTATTCTGTAGAGTTGAGATAACTGATAATGGAATTTGCCACTGACTTACTGGGTACACATAGCAAATGACTGTTTCTTACGGCCTATGAAATGAGAACTTGGGTCCACAATCAGTGCCCATGGAAGTTTATTTCAACTTGGATTTCTCTTAAAGCATGCATATATCCACGTAGATTTTCAAACTCTGATCCATGGCCACGGAAGACCCTCATGGTCATCCAGCAAAAGGACCACAGAACCAACATGAGCAACAATTAACCGTTTTAATGTATTTTTATTTTCTTTTTCTTTATAACACAAAACCATTTGTGTAGTTAGCTGGGAATTGACACTCAAACATCTGTCTCCCAGATGACCTTACTTTTACAGGAAGACAAACAAGCCATTCGTTTCATTGTCTCTCCCTTTTCCCATCTGTAGACTAGATTAATACCCTTTCTTTTTTAATACCCTTCCTTCTTTAAGTGATTATTTCTTACTGGCATGTCTTTTTGACACGCTTCCTAATAAAATGCAGCAAGGACTCTGGGGGGAAGCAAGGAGGATGCTGATCCTATCCCCTTTGTCCCCCATGCCTTTCTGCCCTCAGATTACTTATTCCCCCTCCCCCAAAGTTCTGTGAGGTCAGGACCACATGTACTCAGTTTATGCCAGTATCCAGGATGGGAAGGAAGGGTAAGGGACACTTTTAAAAGGTCACTGAGAAGCCCGAGTAGTGTTCTGGAAGACTAGAAGCCTATGACTAGGGTGGGTTACAGGCAAGAAAGGACTAAAGGCACCCAATCACCCATGGCTCATCAGAAAACTGGGCTTCAAGTTCACTCAAAAAAAACTTTCTGGGTGGGAGTTACTGCTGACAGCACCCAAAATGAGCCAATCAGCTCAAGCCTTTACCCAGAAAAGGCCTCATTAGTCAGATACATTAAAAATACATTTCTCAAGCTCAAAGAACTGAAGAAAAAGTTGAAGCCTTGACTTGTGATATAGAAGGATTCTATTATAGGCAAATTAAGGAGCTCTGGTAGCATAGTGGTTACGAATCAGGCTGTGAACTGTAAGGTCAGCAGTTCGAAACTACCAGCTGTTCTGTGGGAGAAAGAGGCTTTCTGCTCCCATAGAGATTTATAGCCTCAGAAACCCTATACAGGGTCGCTGAGTCAGAACCAACTCCATGGCACTTAACAACAATAGGCCAATAATAGATCCAGAAAGCATCAAAAGAAGATGGAAGGAATACAGAGTCACTGTACTAAAAAAAAAAAAAGGTTGATATACAGTAATTTCAAGAGGTAGCATATGATCAAGAACCAATGGAATTGAAGGCATTGACGAACTGCAAGATTCTAGGAATTGACAGAATACAAATAGAAATCTCTCAGCAAACTGATACACGACCGAAGATAATCATTCATTTATGCCAAGAAATGTGGAAAACAGCTACCTGGCCAATCGACTGGAAGAGATCCATATTTGTGCCCATTCCAAATAGAGGGGACCCAAAAGAAAGCAGAAATCATTGAACAACATCAATATCACATACTAGGAAAATTGTGCTGAAGATAATTCATAAACAGTTGCAACAGTACATTGACAGAGATCTGCCATAAATTCAAGCCAGATTCGGAAGAGGACATGAAACAAGGCATATCACTGTTGACATCAGATACATCTTGGCTAAAAGGAGAGAATACCAGAAAGAAGATGTGCTTTATTGACTATGCAAAAGGCTTATGACTGTATAGATCATGACAAGCTTTGGATTAACATTGCAAAGAATGGGTTTTCCAGAACATTTGATTGTGCTCCTAAGAAACCTATACCAAGAGGCAGTGTTAGAACAGAAAAATGAATATTGAATGGTTTAAAATCAGGAAAGGTGTGCACCAGGGTTGTATCCTATCATCACACTTTATCAATAACAATGTGGCATCAGGATTGGAGAGAAACTTAACAATCTATAATATATAGATTGGATTATACACCCTTGCTTGCTGAAAATGAAGAGGACTTAAAATGTTTACTAATGCAGATCAGAAACTATAGCCTTCAGTATAGATTGCACCTCAATGTAAACAAAGATCTTCACAATTGGTCCAATAAGTCACACCATGATAAATGGAAAGAAAATTGAAGTTGTCAAAGACTTTGCTTGGATCCACAATTAACACATGTGGAAACAGCAGTCAGTGTATTGCATTAGGCAAATGTGCTGCAAAAGACCTTTTTAAAGTGTTCAAGAGCAAAGATGTCAGCTTGAGGACTAAGGTACGCCTGACCTAAGCCATGGTATTTTCCATAACTTTATATGAAATGCGAAAGCTGGACAATGAATAATCAACATCATAGAAGAATCAATGCATTTGAATTACAGTGTTGGGCAGATGAATATTAAAAAGTACCATGGACTGCCATGTTCGAAGAAGTACAGCCAGAATGCTCCTTAGAAGCCAGGATAGCAAGACTTTGTCTCTCGTGCTTGGGACATGTTATTAGAAGAATATGCTTGATCAAGTGGAGAGTTTGTGAAAAAGAGCAAGAACAGCACAGTGGCAGCAACAATGGGCTCAAGTGTAATGATTGTGAGGATGTTGCAGGATCAAGCAGTGTTTCATTCTGTTATACGCGGGGTTGCTATGAATCAGAACCAACTCGATGACACTTTACAGAAACCATCTTATGAGAGGGCTTACAAAACTTTACCATTAACTTTTAATTCCATTTTTCCAAAAATTTTGAAGCCTCCTCGTATATACACTTTTTGTCTATTCTACTTAGAAATCTACTTTTGATACACTCTAGTCTACTTACTCGCTACTAAAACCAATCTTGTTCTTTTCCCTTTTTTGTCACAAGTAAGTAAAAAGAAACAAGCAAAAAACTTCCAGTCTGTATCCAGGAGATTAAAATGCTGAGTTACTAATAATATATCACCATCAGTTTGGACTGTAAGGATTTGGAATTTATGATGCTATGATTAAAAGCCAAAGAGATTTCTGAGTAATAGTAAAAATAACTACTGGTGGACTCCTTGACAGAGCTGGCATACTTTGTGAAGCTGGGATGTGTATATAATGTGTTCCTTTCTTCAGCTATTTAATCAGCTGTGCTGTTTGGTTTGATTTAAGGGTGGGTGATTCCTTGAAGAACCCTACAGCAATGTAGGGCTATATAATTCAACAATTGTATTGAGGGAAGTCTTAAGTCAAATGGCACAGGATGTGGCACTGTGGGTTAATAATGCATTGGACCACAAGGTTTGGTTCAAACTCACCAGTCGCTCCTTGGAAGCCTTTATACATGGTCACAATGGGTTGGAACCAGCTCCATGGCACTTGACAGTAACAACAATGTATTGAGCCAATCTTTGGTACTGAAATTCTGGGTGTAATTTTTAGCGAGAGCATTTGTTTAATGGAGTTGGAGTCCATCCATCGTGTACTATGACCTGCCTCTTTTTCGCTTAAAATCTGGAGACTGCTGTGTTTCGTCCAGGAATACTACTTTCAGAGTAAGAGGGCACTGCCCTGAGAACAACATGTATATTGATATATCAAATCCATTTTTTAATAAAATACATGGCATAAAATAAGTAAGGCCTGGAGAAACTGTGTAGGGAGCCCAGAAGTTAGAGACAAAAATCACGAAACATGTTAGAACAACCATTTCCTTCCAGGATCAAGAGAGTAAAAGCACTCCCCATACAACAATGCCAGGATGATAACTAGAACCTACAGAAATTGTTCCTTTAAACAGAAGGTTGGCAGTTCAAATCCACCCAGAAGCGCTGAGGAAAAAAAGACCTGACAATCTAATTGCATTAAGATCACCACCATTGCAAACCCAATGGGGTACAGTTGCACTCTGACACACGATGAGTCACAGTGTTCACTCAACAGTGGTTGGGGTTTTTGTGTGTGTGTGTGTGTGTGTGTGTGTGTTTTAATGAAAAAGATACCACATTTTTCTCTCCTGAGCTCGACTTTGAAGCATGCACCTCAGATGTCCACTTTGAACACTGACAGGAACACTGCCAAGCAGGGGGAAAGCCTTACCCCATCAAGTGAAAAATGACTCCATAATCCATAGACAGTCTGCTTCATTCGGACAGTCTCTTGCATCTCCCCCCAACACACTCCCCATTTGCTGATAACATCATGGCTTGTAAAAACCATCGATGAAGACAAAGAGAAGACAACATTTACTAAGTCCTTCTAGTTTTTCAGTTTAAGTGCCGTTGAGTCATAGTGACCCCTGTATAGGTTTATGAAAACCTGATAGAATGAAGTTATAATCCAAAGTAAAAGGTTTTAAAAATGTTCTTTTCTTCCCATTTTTACTAGGAAAAAAACACCCTTTCAAATATATATATATATATATATATAGGAAGTGTCAAAGAGAAAACAGAGGAAATTGGTTTAATCCTTAGTAATAGAAATCCATGAGTAAAAGAAGTGAGGCAGATTATCTTCTTACCGATAAATGGCAATACTCGGTTTTGGAAGCAGTGCAGTACAGCTGAAAGGAGGTGTGGGCTTTGTAGTCAGCAGATCTGAGTATGAATTCCCATTTGTCACTAGCTACAGTCTCAAGTTGCTTCCCCTGTAAATCCAGACTCAAACCTACACAGAACTTGGACCATAAGCATTCAAGAAATGCTAGTTGCCCTTCCTTTTAGTCTTATTGCCTAGTATAGGCCGACTGACAATGTTAGCCTGAGATGCATGTATAGAATCTAGATTCCTAAGGTTGTTAAAAGATTCTCTGGGTCCCCAATACTTCAGCCTTCACCCAAACCTATAAGATATAACGAGAAAAATGGAGATGCAAAGACATCTAGCTGGGCTTCCATATAACTCAGTAATAAAAGAAAAATTAAGAATTCATGACCTTGGTTGACAGTCAAAGTAAATGAGGCCGAGCTTTTAAGAGAGAGAAGTGGGAGATTCAAGGCAAATTGAATTCTAAACAAGAATTTTATATAGCAAAAGCTTCTTCAATTTATGAGCCTAACATAAACCTATCCTATTTTATGACGCTAACTTTTCTTTCTTTCCTCTAGAAAACAGGTGATGATGCAATTGATTTTGATTATACTGTCCTACTTCATGAATTTTCAACACAGGTAAAATATGAAACTGTCCACAGAACCATTTTTATCATACATTTGTGCAGATTATAATAGTTTGTTAATGCTATTTCCTAGGAAATCATTCCCTGTCACATCCACTTGGTCTGGTACCCTGGCAAGCCACTTAAAGTGAAGTACCAGTGTCAAGAGCTACAGACACCAGAAGCAGCCTCTGGGATGGAAGAAGGGTCTGCTGCAGCACCAACAGATCTTAGACTTAACACTCATCCTGAACTCCATGACCATACTAAACAGCCTAAAGCATTATTCTAGTAAAAACAGCTGAGGAATAAAGCATTTGGGAAAAATAAGTAAATAATGAAAAATGATGGGTTGTTTGGTTTTTAACTCTGGGCATGCTAAACTCTGTTCAGAGTTGAACCACCCAGCAAGTTCCTCTGAGTTTCAGCTGTGCAGTGTAAAATTAAGCCAGTTAGCTAATTCTGCATTTCTCATTATTTGAATCATATTGTAGCCAACTGGTTTATTAAATCATCTCTACCTAGATGTAAATATATTTTCAATGGAAGCAAATTACAGGGAAAAATATTAACTGTTTAAAAATAATTTTACTATTTTTTATTACTTCAAGCATTCCTTTTTAACTTGGTATCTGCTTTTAAATAAATATTTCATTACTAAATAATAAAGTGTGTTTGCAGAGATTTGTGTAGACAAAATGGGCTAAACTGGAATTAAGTAAAATCTTAGTATTGCTTAATTTAAACTTCACAAATAGAAATAAATATATTAGTCTCATCAGATAAAGCAGAGTGTCTGTGAACAGTAAATGAAACAAAACATCAAATATTTACAATTTTCATTTCTAAGTACAACACTGGACTTTAGTAAGCTAACGCGGTATGTCCCCTAAGAGGATTTAGTGGAGTACCCACCCCAAGGTAAGAAAAATGGATTTTGGAAATACTGCCATCATTTCCCTCTCAAAATTAGCACCATTTATTGGAACACTTATAAAAATGGCTAAAAACTTTTTGCCAGGTTCCTTGGGCAGTAATTGGTTAGACAGCACCAGCTTTAAATTATACCAAAATACTACTTTTAAGTCTGCACTGAGAAAATTAGAAAAGTTTTCATTAAAGGGAAAAGTTTTTAAAAGTAGAAACTCTGACTATGTCAATGTTAATTTTTTAGCAGATCTAGCTTACATTTCTTTCAGATTCAATACCCCCCACTTGTTTTGAAAGAGCTGCCAGCTCTGTGACAGCTACCAAAAGCAGTATTTTGAAGCAGCCAGAAACATCTCACTTATGTGATTATTGTTGTTAAGTGCACTGAGTCCACTCTAACTCAGGGTGTCCAACCTTGTGGTTAGCAATCCAGTGCTTATCCTATTAATGAGGAAAAATCCTCTTATGCTGGAGGATAAGCACTAGACCATAAGGTCGGGTTGAACCGCAAGGCTGGAGATTCAAACCACCAGACACAGCCATTCCTTGGAAACCCTATACAGGGTCTCTATAAGTCGAAACTGACTTGAAGGCACTTAACAACAAATTATCAAAAGAACAATCTTAAAAGAATAAATAAAGCCACAATCAAGCGATAAACTTCTCTAACTGAAGTTCCCTAACTGATCTTCAATATAGATGCCAAGAGTATTGTTAATAACTAATAACATATTCAAAGTCTTATGACTGTTTCTCAGTCTCTTACTACTACTACTTAACTGAGGCTGGAAAGGGGCTATTAACTAACTGGTGGTGTGGCTTTCCAGTGTCTCAGCTTCCTCAAAGTTAGCCTAAAAGCATTTTAGTGTAGTGAGATGAGGCTCACAGAACCAGGGAAGAACTTTAAGGGTAATTCTTGAAAATACTGATTCTAGTATAACAGATTATGAAGGAGAGTTCTAGACATACAGATACCAAACAAACACAATTGCCTATTTTATAAAGCTACAAAAGCTAAACTAAAAATTTCCCAAACGTATCACTATTAGAATATCTTTTCTAGTAGAAACTCTAAAATTGCTGACTTGAGTTCACTACCTAAAAACAAAAAAAATTGTCTCATCTGCTTTGACATGAAAGTTCTTAAGACCTCTTTTCATTAAATCTAAAGTCCTTCTAAACCACTTTGTGCCACTGACATATAGTATAACATGTATTTTTTGATTTGGTGTGGCACTGTAGGATAAGCATTGGACTGCTAATTATAATGTCTTGATGGTTCAAACCCATCAGCTGCTCCTTGGAAACCCTATACAAGGTCACTATGAATGTTATGGACAATGACACTTAACATCTAAACAACTTTCAGAATTTAAAGTCATACAGTGACTAGAATTTTGTCTGCTTTCTATTTGATTTGGTTGTTATGTGCTGTTGAGTTGGTTCTGACTCATAGCAACCCTGTACAGGGTTTCCAAGGAGCTATTGGTGGGTTTGAACAGCTGACCTTGTGGTTAGCAGTCTAGTGCTTATCTAACAGTGCCACACCAGGACTCTACTCATTGTCATTTGTCTTTACCTGAATTATGAATCACTGAACATTAAGCAAGTTCTTTTAAAAATCAGTTGGAAGCTGCTATATTTGGCTCTTGAATGATAATTCTCATTACACATGAGTTTATACCAATTTGTCCCAGCTTAGAACGTTCTATGACCTCTTTTGTGACCTTTCTTAGTTTTCAAAGTGCTGAAATCATTTAGAGAGCATAAGATCCTTTGGGCACTTACTTGAATGGATGAAAGAATGATCCTAACTACTCTTTTTTCTGAACACAACTACTGCAGATATGCTTTCCAGTGTTAGAGTTGTGAAGGCACTTTAAGCAGCAATCAAATCAAAGCTCTAATGCAACCATTTATAGTTTTAGCAATGCAAAGTGCTGTCTTTCTAAAAGACAAACACTCCCACATCACCGTTTACTCCTGTCTAGTGCCTGCTAAGCTGTTCTTTTGGCATCAGTTTGAAGACTCATTTAGATTTCACAAGCATTAAAATGTGAAAAGTCTTAAAAGTTCAGAATTGATTACAGGTTAGTGATTTTATAATATACACTACACAAAGTGATCAAGGAGGAAATGAAGATTATGGTTACATTTTTAAAGCTGACTTTTCTTAAAAGGTAACGTTATCAAGCTAAAACTCCTCAAAATTGTCATCATACTAAACAATTTTAGTATGACCTAGCTGGATTTATTTCACACATCTTCCACTTAGTATCCTGGACCTAATAAGTTCAGGCAATACTGTAGTGATCTTTCATCTTGCCTACATTCTAGAAGAGCCTGAAAAGCGTTAAAAATTCCCTTCCTCCCTTGATAGGCAGAATCAGAATATCCGGAAGTAGGCTTGGGATTTCTTTTCAAAGTTGCGCGCCCCTCCCCCCCAACAGGTGATTTTGGGCATTGTAGGGATAAGCACTGTCCTGATAGTCAAAAGGTCGGTGGTTCAAACCCACCAGCTACTACTCGGGAACCCTACACAGGGTCATTATGAGTTGGAAACGGACTCATTAGCACTTAAAAACGTTAAGTGCCAAAGAGTTGGTTGACTCATAGTGACCCAGTACAGGGTTTCCAAAGAGCTGCTAATGGGTTTGAACCACCGATCTTAATGTTCAAACCAACCTTGCAGTACAGTGCATTATCCTGCAGCACCTACGAGTTGGTTTTTAAAATGCAGCTACGACTGGGGACAAGTGTAATATTGCCTAGTGCTGCTACCATTATCCAGCACCTCCTAAATTGGCTCACAGTAAGCCTGCACCGTTGTTAAGTGCTGTTGAGTCAGTTCTGACTCAACGGTTCTATATAGGGTTTCCAAGGAGCAGCTGGTGGGTTTGAATCACTGACCTTGTGATGAACAGTTCAGTGCTTATCCTACAGCACCACACCTGGGCTCCAGCCTTAACAATGGTGGTGGTTATGTGCCATGGAGTCAGTTCTGACTCATAGCGACCTGTACAGGGTTTCTGAGGCTGTAAATCTTAACGGGACCAGAAAGTCTCACCTTTCTCCCGCAAAGCGGCAGGTAGTTTCGAACTGCTGACCTTGAGGTTCACAGCGCAATTCATAACCACTATGCTACCAGAGCTCCGTGCCCAAACAGTGTTGTTACTATGTGCCGTGGAATTGGTTCCAACTCATAGCGATCCTGCATAGGGTTTCTGAGGCTGTAAATCTTTACAGGAGCAGAAAGCCTCATCTTTCTCCAGTGGAACAGCTGGTAGTTTTAAACTGCTGACCTTGCGGCTTGCAGCCCCATTCATAACAACTACGCTACCAGAGCTCCTTTGCCTTAATAGTTGTTGTTAAGTGCCGTCGAGTCAGTTCAGACCCATAGCGACCCTGAACAGGGTTTCCAAGGCTGTAAATCTTTATAGGAGCAGAACACCTCATCTTTCTCCCGCGGAACAGCTGGTAGTTTCGAACTACTGACTTTGCGGTTCGCAGTCCGATTCGTAACCACTACGCTACCAGAGCTCCTTGCTTTAACAGTAGCAGTATAAATATCCTCATTTATGTCTGTATACATTTTTCCTTGCTGACATTGGTTGGCATGTGATCTTTGACAACTATATCTAAAAGATGGGCTAGTGAGGGCCATGGATACTGGCCCTGACTCCAGCCCTATGTGGCCCTATTCCAGCTGCTCCCACCAGCGGGAGCTATGAAATACTTGTGTTGGATTAGATGTCTAGGATCTTTTCTGAAATAACTATAACTAAAATGTCTATCAAATAAGAAACACCCACATATTGTCCATCTCAAGTCTGATACTTCTGTTCAAGACAGCCAGAGGGAGGGGAAGGCAGAGCACAGGGTAGGGAAGAGACATAGATAGTTTGGGTGCTGGGGAGGGAGGGCAATACACAAGAAGTGGGAGAAAAATGGAAAACCAAGGTGGATGGGAGAACATGTAGGCAGGCTTGCAAGGGCTAAGTGGGACAGAGGTAAACAGTGATGTATGCTCAACTTTGGAACAACAGGGATTGAGGCATGGTTTGAATGGATAAAAGAGGAAATAATGCTTAGCTGTCTTTTATATCTTGGTTTCCCTTGCCTACAATTGTAAAATAGATGCTTGAGAGGAAGAGAAAGGAATAGCCAGAAATATCACCATAGAAAGCTTCTAAGTCTGTCTTCGGCCTATAATTGATTGGAATACTTAAAATGGGGCTAGAACTTGCCCAGTGAATGAGGTTTCCTGAAGAGCCTTTGCATTGCATAAGACCATTGGTGGAATCTTAAACCCCATCCAGAGTCTTCTGAGGTGGGAAATTTCCACTTGAATGGACAAGCAGA